TCTTTTCATGTGTTTATGAACTTTTAACATTCATAGCAAGGCACCTCACACCTACTTTGCACAGTGTGAAGAATTCCGGAACAAATGAAAGGTAGTGCTTTATCTTTGAATGGTTTATTATGTTGTCACCAGATACTGTGATTGTCAAAGTGGTGGTTTCAAGAGCAGTTGTACAAAATCATGGAAAGAAAATACAGTTACAGCAATTTAATGCAAAAATATAATTGCTGGCTTTGAAAGTGTAAAACAGGCAGAGGATGCTAACTTGGTTGACCTTTGTTGTAGCTCAGAGTAGTTGTCTGTATGTTCTTCACCAAATGGTCCATATTTACAAATGACTTTAAGGAATTCAGTGAAAAAGAAATTGAAATATTTGTTCATGCTCCTCATTTCTTAGCTCCTTTTGAGCTGATGATGTAACACAGAGTTAGTTCCTGAGCACGATTTTGCAGAGGGTAGGAATACGGCTTTGTACCTCTCTTCTCTCTGTTTAAAGAAGTTTCTTTATATTTTTATGAGCACTTGTTTCTCTGTCCAATGATACTCACAGCAGAGTGCTGCTGAAAAATCTCATATCACTTGATAAAGTTGGATATTTTATTATGCAGGCGACAGCTGTTTGTTATTCCCACTCTCTGTAAAGGATGTCTGATATCAGTTGTCAGTAACTCAATAGATACTTATTCCTCAGGTTTACTGCTACTCAGAAAAAGTCAAGCTGTGCCAGAATATAGCTAACTGAGAAACAGTTTGTCATAGCTATCCGACAGGTAGAAATCTAAACATAATCATGCATCTGACCACCATATTCATCCCTATAGTTCTTACTGCTGTGCTACTCTAACAAGACCAGCTAAATTATGAGTTACTTTATGTATGGAAGCCATATGCATTTCTGTTCTGTGCACCAAGGATCTGTATTATGCCTATGTCCATGAGGGTTTCAGTGCACACCCTGGTGTTTTTTCACTGTCTGCCAGACAGCCTTCCTGGCAGCCAAGAACCCTCACTGATCAGTCCTTCTGCTTCTCCTGGCTTAAGTGATGTGTGGCTTCACATGGGACACCTTTTCTCTCAGCTGCAGAGGGCCTTTGGGTACAGTGGAGAAGGTCTCTTGTGTATTCAGCTGCTGTGATGTTCTCTACAGAAATGTTTCTTGTCCTTGTGCACCCGTAATGCCTCAGGCTGTCCTTCCTCCCTGTGCATTTGGATCCTTTTCTCGGTGGAGGATTATAGTTTTATTTGTCAGCCTCTCGTCTGAAGAGGATTCAGCAAGGTTAACACTTCAATCCCCAAACTTATTTGACTTCTCTCTTATGCAGCAATTCATCTGGCTATTTTCTTAATTAAAAGAAGCGGTTCTGTTTCCTTGGAAATGAGAACCATGCACGCTTTGTCAGATACCAGCTGTGATATTAAGCTGACTTTGACACAGCAAGATGCAGGACACTTCACACACCTCTGACTGGTGATTTGCTGGTATTTTTCCTTGTGAATTTTCCATGTAATCTGTATCAAGTGAATGTGTTAAGAGATACACTTAATGTAATTATTTTATTAATATGTATGTTTGCTATTTATACGTTTCTTATTGCAGGCTTTTGGCTGAGACTGAGAACAGCAATTAATGTGTTTGGGGTAGGTAGCTCTCATCTCCTTCCCCTGAAGAAAACTGGGACATGTATCAAAACATATGCATTTGAAATTCTAGTTAGGGTAAAACTACACGTCCTCAATAAGAAAGATATTACAGCTATCCTCAGTGTTTCAGCGAGTCAAGTTCAGTGGCACTGCATACTGTCTAGATTCATATATGGGTCAAAACTGAGATGATTGCAGTACAGCTCAGTGACATAGACATGTTGATAACAATTAAGGTGAAAGAGCGAAACTAGGTAGCAAAAGGAATGTTGGATCTTTCAGATTATATTTTTCATCATATAAGCTTGTGACTTTTTATGAGGGATTCTTTCCCCTTCGTTGCTTTTAGTCATGCTCCAATTAAAGCCGGTCAGTTTCTCGTCATCCACATGTGGCCAGGACTTTCTAACCTCTGCTTTTTAATGTGGATTTTGGTAATTAGATTGCTGCATAGCATTGTTCCTGAACCTGTTTGAAGTCTCTTGGTGACAGCAACTCAATAACTCAATTGGTGGGAATACGATGGGAATTTCAGCGACTTTTGTCTTTCAACAGTGTTGTCCTCATTTAGGGTTCCATGTGTAGGTTTTGGCAATAGAAGGCCATGAGCAGCAAGGGCTGCTTGGGATTTCTTAAAAACTCACACTGTTTAGAGGGCTCCAGGAACTTGCTAAGGATATGTTCCTCAGACCAGAAACAGGAAGAAACCTTTTCTACTACTTGTCTGTCTGGCTTGGTAGGGCTATTATTTTTATCTGAATGTTTATTTTTTAATGCTTGTGACAGACTGTTCTGTTGCTTGCAGGGAAGAATGCTATACACAGTGTATGTTGTGAAATGTGACATTAAACAAATGTGAAAGCCTGCTTTCTCCCATCTTTCTCATTTTTCCTTTCATATCTGTCCAGTTGTGGCCAGCCACAGTATTAAGTTCTTATTCTTTATCTCTGAGACATACTTTGGACTTTTGGGACGGTTTTGCTCAGGGAGTAGACAGAGTCTAGTATAATCATGGTGGCGTAAAAGACAGAGAGATGAGACTATTAAGGAGGAAAGTACAAAGGTGAGAACATGGTTAACTTTTAACTGAATCACAATGAAGAGAAGCCCAGGTGTTATTCTATGTACTTTTGATTGATCAGTAATATATCTCAGCAGTGTGAACCTTTCACTTTGGGAAAGATGAATAAAGATTTTGGCATACCTTCCCAAGAGAACCGCTGTGTGATTGAAAAAGGGTTTTTGTCATGCAAGTATCTTCATAAACAGGTAAAAATCAAACAAGAAAAACCTTCTAATAATATCAATTCTGGACCTCCCAGAGTGTCAACCTACTGGGACCCATAATTGCACAAGTTTACTGCAGTGAGAAACATTTTGTAGGCAAATCATTGTTAAAAATGCATCAGTGCTTTGTGATACAAATGTGAATTTCAGTGTGAATTTGACTTCAAATAATATGCCATAGATCTTTATCATTTAGAATGCAGAATTTTATTTCTCCATAGCTTTCTATGTACATAGTCTTTCATGGGCTACAGACTCTGACTGTTATTTTACATTAACATCATCTTTATTTAATATATGACTTGTATTCTTCTTCAACTGCTCTTCAGCAAGACATCTAAAATGTCACAATGAAAAAAAAAAATTAACTGGTTTTAAGTTGCTATGAAAACCGGTTCAACAATCTCTGCTACTGCACCTTCAAATAATATGGTGGATGAGGGCAAAGACTTGGCTAAATGTCAATTAAGTTCAGATACTTAAAGCTCCAGTGTCCTTGGCTGCTTATAAAAGTAGGGATTTAGCTGAGCCTTCTAGTTGTACTTAGAATAAACTGGTCTTTAACTAGGGAGTGGAGGAGTAAGAATGGAGGACACTGCTTCTTCCAATAATCACATTCTTAATTCCCTCACAATGTGAGCTTGCCACCAGTCCATCAAACTGGTAGGGGAGCATCTACCATACTGAAGTGGTTTGGGCTTTTTTCTGCATTAAGAAGGAAGGCATTGTGCTGTATTATGCAATTTAGAAAGGTCTATGCATTAGAAGTCTGTATCCTTTTGAATAAGTGGGAGTAATAATTCTATTCTTGCAGATAGAATGCAAATAGAGTAATTTTTCATTTAGCATATTAATTCAGTAAGGAGATTAATATAAGCTTCCAAACTTCTTAGTCAAAATCTTTATTCTCTCCACAAAATGCAATACAATTACTACTTGGATGCTGATAGTTAATGAGTTGTTTTATTGAATTGTTATAATGAAATATGGGAGGCTGGTGTATGATATTTCTTATAAAGAGTATATTTGTGCAAGACTTTGTAGAGGAGGCAAAAGTGGGCAGAAAATTTTTGTTTCAAAAAGAGAGATAAAGAAGTGGCTGCTAGTGGAGAAGTGCCTGTTGGCACTCCTGACTTCCAGTATGGTTTGGAATCAAATTCTTAACTTCAGGTATATAATTGATTAATACTTTGTTGCAAGCTCAGGAGTAAAGCCGTGACTACATGGATTATTATGAATGATTGATACTGCTCCATTCATGGATTGATATATCTTTTGCAATACTGACTAACATCAACCCCCTATTTCTTAATTTTGAGTCCTGGTCTCAGTTTACAGTAAAATTCTTTACACCTGAAATAAAGATCAAACTAATAATCAGAGAAGCCCAGAACAGGTCAGGTGAGAAGGACCTCACAGTGTCATTTAGCCCAGCCTTCTGCACAAAGCAGTGTGAGTTATGAGAGCAGAGCAAATAAATCCTCAGCAGTTTAAAAGAACATTGTTTTGCTTTCTTTTGAAGACTTTGTGTTGTCCTTCTAAATAACAGTCTCTCCTCCTTCTAAATAACAATCTCTCCATTACATAATTTTGCACAGAATATTGAGGTTGGACTTTAAGGAGAGGTTGCTTAGGAGTTTTCGTTACAGACAAAAGTTTTTTTATAGAGTCCAGCAGTATTGTCCAACTTTCCTCCTACTATGGAAGTCCCACTGGCAAGCTGGGATTACATTCCAAATTTTAATTTTGGAAATGGTAGAAAAGGTTTCAGTCAACCTTTTTTTGCTGGACCTCTTTCATTATTTGTCAAATGGTGGTATTGGAAATCTGGTTTTATTCAATATAAGGAGGGGGGTTGCTGTTCTTTCACCACAGCAGATTGGGGGGCTTGAAGTGAATACTCTGATTCTTCATGTTTAGGTTTTCAAATGTTATATATTGTACAATTTTTATATCTGTGCAACCTCTGATTTTTTTTCCTGCCTAACTGCCCAATAGTTTATTTCTTAGTTAATTATTTTATTTATGACATTGAATATTGATTCCTTTTTGTCTTTTTTTTTTTTTTCCAGTGTGACAATGCAAAAGGACTCAAAGCCTTCTATGATGCAATAAAATATGGACCTAATCATCTGATGGTTTTTGGTGGTGTGTGTGCAACAGTTACTTCTATCATTGCTGAATCTCTAAAAGGGTGGAATCTGGTTCAGGTAAGGCATGGAACGGAATATATTCAAATGTTGATTATCTTGCATCTCTGGATCTTTTTATTTTGAAATTTAGAAACTTAGGTTTGATGCTTTTCTCGCTTCTCATTTTGTGTAATTAGTATGTCTCAGTTCCAAAGGCCAATGAAGGTATGTTTAAAGAAGAATAGTTACTTCTATATAGCACTGGATTTTAAGGCTTGACATAGTACTCAAAATGCATGTGAGTATGGGGCAGCAGTCATGTGTCTCAGCAGGTTAATTAAATAAAATTAATGTATCTCAAAAAGCAACTTAAATGAAAATCAAGTTCAATCATGGTAGACGAGCGAACCTAGGACTTTTGAAAGGCTTCAAATTATGGTACTTCTGGGTATTTACTCAATCTCTGCTCAGTCATAATGCAACAATTCCTATGGACTTTAAAACTGTTGGAAGTGCATAAATTCTAAGTAGTAACTGGGTTCATGTCTCAGTATGTAGCTCACAAAGCACATTTATTCGCAGCTGTTCTTCTTCCTGACTTTCTCAAAGGTCAAGTTTGTGGAAAGGTTCCCTCTGCTGAGGAATCAGAATTTATTAATACTAATCTTTAAAATGCAGATGATAACAGCATGATTTTCATTTATTCAATCATCTGTCTAGTGTTAATTTTTGGATTGATGGCTATTCATGTAGCCATCTAGTTTTGCTTTTCTGATGTAGAAATACCCTGGCTTTCTACTCAATATTCATATTGTCCAAGGATAAATTTGTATATTTTTTTATTAAAAAAATCCAAATTATTCTCTAGCAAAATAAAAAAAAAAAAATATATAAAAATTACCTGAGGTTACAGTTACAAAAAGGCTCCTCTTTTCCACCTGGAATACTTACTGAGAGTAGTGCAGAAAGAACAAATGAGGCATAATTAAGTTTGTGAAGAAGATGATGATCAGAGTACAAATGGGAAAATCTTAGGAGGATAATTAAAGTAGCTTGTTAACTGTGTTTACAATGCTTGTCAGATCAGATCTTTTTTTCTTATGATTCAGGATTTTTTTTCTAATGTGAAAAACATTAGTTCTACTGTGGAAACAAAATAACAGTGTGTCTCTGGGGAGAAGGCAGAAAGAACAGAAAGCCTGACACTATCCTTTAACACTGTTCTTAAAAATGGCCTAGTTCATGACCTATAATGAAGTGTGTGGCTGAAGCTCTGTTTCTTTTTAATTTGTCACATGGAACTTCCAGATGATGTAGGATGTTTTAAATAGCTGGATTTTATTGTGCTAAAAATCTTTTCATTTGCAGTCAAGTTCTGCCTGATACAATCTGAAAATCAATTTGTTCATGAAGTTGCTCAGACTAGAAGGAAGGGTGATTAGAAAGCTTTCAAATGCCTGAACTTGTCAATATATGTGTTAAAATATAGAACGATATGATGCACTGCTACCAGAGAGCATTTATTTCTTTGTATTTAACCACTACGGTTGTGACTATGTCTTAAATATTATTTGTGATATCAGTCCATCAAGGGACTCTTTACTGCTTGGGTTCAGCATCCTGTGAGCACTAGATAAATCCTCACGTGGCAAAACTGTGCTTTGTGTCAGGTTTTTAGATATTGATTGACTGGATGATGAAAAAAACACAAATAGCAGCACGGCTGGGAAGTGTGATGAGGCTTTATGGATGCTATAGCAGTCTAAATACTGCTTGAGAAAGTGTTATGTCATGTGGTGACAGGGCTTTGTGTATCTGCAAATCAGCAGATGTAGAATTTACAAGACAGGGGGGAGATCAGTACAAATCTTTTGACTCCTCAGGATCCACTGACATAAGTATCTCTGATTAAAAGCATAATTTCAATGGAAAGAAAAGATAGAATTCTGTAGTTCTCAGAAGCAGAGCAATATTCAACCTGATAAAATACAAGATTGTCCACCCTCAAAACTTGAAACTCCACCTCAAGGAATCACAGCAAACTCACATAAATTGTTATATGAAATTATGATGAAGTCATTTCAAGTCAAGAGGGAAAACAACATACAGACAAAAAATAACCTGACATTGTATTATTGAGTAGAGTATTTGCATTTGAATGTCCCCATCACTTTGTCCGTGTGCCTGCAGTCATGAAAACAAAGCTCTTAACCCTAGCAGGAACATTTGATTTGATTTACACAGGTGTCATGAGGTTGAGCAAAGTGATGACTGCCTTCCATGCAAGGGAAATGCAGAATGATACTCATAGTCCTGGGGGAATAGAGAAGAAAAGAAAAAAAATAACTGAAAAAATTACTTCCTTGGGTACATACAGTATGAGACTTGCTGACTGCAAAAAATCTCCAAACTTTTCTGAAAGCTTTTTAGCCCTGAATTTCAAGTTTCAAGTTTCCTCTGTTTGGGTGAATTTCTCTGTTTTACTTCTTTGTCATTCTCTACAGTAAAAAGTTGCCAAAACCAAACAATGAAAAAAAAGGCCAAGAGTATAAATGTGCTGGAAATTATTGTGCTACATTTGCTACTCAGGCAACTATAAGTAGTGATGGGGGATGGGAAGGAAATAGTTTTTTGCAAGGCAGATTCAGTCTCTACTCTCCTTACTGTATGCTATTGATAATGATAGTCTGTTTTACTTAACTGGTTAAATCAGGTCACTGGTGGCTTGGAACAAGGTGAAATATGCAGGACTATCAGAGGTTGAGAAGAGTCTTAGTCTGAAGGTGACTTGCCTTACTTCTGTGCTGTATCAAAACACAGGGAACTTTTCCTTCTCTGTCTTGACAAATTCTGGTTTAGTTATGATCAGCAAGAGAAAGGGAGTTTTTGTTCTCAATTAGCTGCCTTCAATTGCTGACTGATTTAATTATCTCTTACTGTAACAAAATTAATTATATTTTAATGGAGCATTTTATATCTGTGAAAAGAGCAAGTTGTTTTGGACTGCAAAGATTTATGTCATCCTGAAGGACTTTCATTGAGGTATGCTAGGTGACAAAACTTGGAAAATATTTTTTGAACACACATTCTTAGTAGGACATATGCAGACACCCATTCCCTAGCCTCTCAAATGAAAAGCTTAGTGGGTAATTTCAGTGTGCCAGCAGTCCTTTGTTGAGTAACAGTCTGAGCATGGGCTGGAGGGTGCATGTACATCTTTGATCTCCAGTCCGTGGTGTGGAATCAGTTTGAACCCTTGGTGTTTCAGTTTAAAAGTGCAAATAATATTTATTCTGTGCCTTTGGCAGTGGGTCTTAAAGTCACAAAGGTATAATACTTGGTACCTGCTGTGTTGTAGGGTGAATATTTCGATGTCAGATTCTACCAGATTAATCTTATTCTCATTGCCTTTCAATGTGTGTTCAAGGCAATTAAAAAAAGTGAAGAAAAATAATGAATAGTATCTACAACATCTTGCAAAAGGCAAGTTATTTATTTTGATTTTGTATACCGAAGCATTCCTGCTAGTATCCAAGTAGTGCAAAACAGAGGAGATAGTTAGCATCTCAGTCTTTCTCTTTTGTTTCAGGATTACATCTGTTTACATCTCCACGTGAATTTCTTAGAGTGGCAAAAGCATATAATTTATATATTTTATATATTACTCTTTCTTCTGTTTTCATTGTCATCTCTCACTTTCCCTAATTGCTATATTAACAGAAATATTTAATCAGGATGAGGATTTTGACCACAACAGTCATCTCTCTTAATCTGCAGAACTCTTTCTCCATTTTTGGAGATCTGTCATTTTCTTTTGTTGTGCCATTTACATTCTCATACAACCTGCTTCATTTACAATTTCATCTGACTCTGGAAATAAGCCTCTGCCAGAAACAAAGTATAAATATTTGTGCTTCTTTGGAATATCCTCTGTTTCTGCATATTTTATGTAATCTAGTCATAACTACCAGCTTCTAGGCAAGTAACTGCTTCAGGCAATCCAGTGATTAGATCGTAATGACATTGAAAACTGAGTAACCTTATTTTGGATTCAGCACCTCATGTTGGAAAGTTTTCTAACAAAATTATAGGTACCCTAATCATGATGTATTACTTTTGGGCATATTAATATAGGGCGAGTTCCACTTGTTAAAAAGGGATGTTAGAAAGGGAAAACTCATTTAGTTCTCCAGCTAGTGTAATTGAATAATAAGGAGCCTACCCTGAGATTTGTTTTGTTGTCCCAGAGATCCATAGGTATTCAAGATCTCATCTCTGAATCACTGAAGAGGCTGCTGATGTTCAAGAAAATCAGTGATGTTTCTAACCTTTGGTTTCCTTCTGAAATAAGACGGATGTGATTTCATTGTCAGTTCCTCCTAATAATTTCTGACCACTGGCCGGTTGCAACCAAATTTTAACAAAGGAGTTCCCAAAGATTATTAGCTTCTATACATTTCTGTGAAAATGAGCTGCTGAGGAGAGGGATCCAGATGACTGAAGGAGAAGCTGCAGTATGAGCAAGGAGAACTTTAGGCCAACCATGCAATGTAGTGCTTCATGTCCAGAGACTGTTTATGGAAAGGGGACTGACTGCATTGAGAGGATTGTTAAAAAAAGCAACAGAAGAAAAATTAAGGGAACACAGAGGAAAGGTGAAACCCAGAACAATTTAGAGTAGGAGCTGAGGTATGTGTTTGTGTGTGTATTTGTAGAAACCTGAGATACATGTATCTGTAGGAAACCAGGCTTTATTAGGTGTCCCTGTTACTCATCAAAATTCTTGTTTACGGAATTTCATAGCTATATGCAGGTTATAAATGGTGGATTTTAACACTGAAGTAGTGCAATTCATCACAGAGATTTCTATACTGGCCACTGAATCAAATTTCTTCTTGTTAATAGCTGAATTTTCTAAATCCTTATACTTTTTACATGGACCTCTGGCATGGACACATAAACATTTGATAAAAAAAAGTGTGGTGTTTTTCTTTTTTTTTAATATTCCTTGTCTCTCTTGTTCCAGTGGAGTGAGTTTACACTACTTTTGCCTTTATTGCACAATTTCCATGTATTAT